TAATAAATTATATTATATTAAAATTATTTAATAAATTTAAATTTATATCGGATTCGCAATAATTTAAGCGATTCGAGAGGGAAACCACAGATGGAGACTACCATGGATGTAAAAATATGTTGACGTCATTTCTTGAGGAAAGCGGAAAGGCGATTAAATCAGTTCTATTCATAGAGTTTGATATAAAAAAAACTTATTATTTTTTTAGAAAGCAAAGTTTTTATTTGCATTGTAAAAATGATAGAATATAAAAATAAAAATAAAAAGTATATATATCAGAAAGAGATACTTATTAGATATAAGATTGTATAATTATATATAGATATAAAAAAAAAGTAATGAGATTATAAATAAAAGAGATAACATAATAAAAAGATCTAAGCAAATTTAAGAAGAAATAGATATTTATGTTCTCAAAAATTTAACACAAGAAAGAGAGTAATTTAAAAATTTAAATGTTTACATTAAAGCTTTACTAATTAATTGTAAGTTGAGTATTTCAAATTAAATAGTGAATATTCGTTTCAAATCTCGTTTTTTTTTGGACTATATTGATCAAATAAATATAGTTTCCAAAAATTATTGCACCATAGGCACCCTTGTACGACGATAGATCGGATGTAAATTGCATTAACTAACTTTTCTCATGCGCACAAAATCGCCCGTGCATGAAATGAGAACCAAGTTGTTTTTTGACACGCTCGAGCTCGCATTTATGTCTAATAAGACCCAGTATATTAATCGATCAATGAATATCGAGAAACATTGAAGAGCGGTCGCGAACTGGGTGACACACCTCCGAGCATTATTTCCGTCTGGCCAGAGGCTGGTTCTCGATCTCGATATTACATTACACAATCGCGCGCCGCCTCGACAACGCCTCGCTCTGTAACGTCATAGCCGACAAAATAAATGAGTTATCCTTATACTATAGAGAATGGAAACCGGCGAATAGATTCGGTAACTTGCGAATAATAATATATGTACTAATAATATCCATGAGAGAGATAACATAATTTTAGACTGTCAAGTTCCAACAACATTTGTAAATAAAAATTCTTTGACATTTAACATATTATTATGTACTATATCGCATTTATTAAAAGTTGCGTGATTGGATTATTTAAATATTAATTAATAATAATTATCAAACAGAAACAATTAGACAAAACATCAAAATCAAGCAATGTGGGTGTTTAATTAATACATTAACTTTTAATATTTGAAGTTATATACAAAAATGTAAACATTTTGACTAACATAGTCTTTATTAGTTTATAAATCAATAATAAAAAATAATAATTTTTTAAATTTATGAACTGATAATTTAATATTAGTCGAATTTGTCATTGTAGTGTATGATTTTAAGTATTAAAAATTAATATAATTAATATAATTAACAAATTGCTCGATTTTAGTTGTTTTTATGATATTTTTTCCATGCAAATTATAATAAGCCTATTACTCTTTATTTTTTTATTGATAATGATCAATTAAGTAATAAAAAATTATTCATTAAATATATATATATA